TGTAAAATAATATGGTACAAGGCTTTCTCATTTCCTACTAAAAGAAAAAGGCATTTTATTCATACTCCATTCATTTCTATGTAACAGAAATCTGGAAGCAGTTGTCCTTTCCTACATGCATACAGGTGTAGTTTACAACTGGAGACCTCGCCTGCTGCAGGGGATGACCAGGATGTCTAAGAATCTTGTCATGCTCTTAGTGCTCCACAATGTTTGCTGGGGCTGTTTTCTTAATTGTCGGATCATTGATCAGTCTCCTCCACTCAATCTGCCAGGGCCAGACTTCACACACTGGAATGGACAAACCCCTATCTCACTAGAGTCAAAGACCCATCACCTATCCTCACCTGGCTTGGCCCGTCTGCCAAGACAGTTTACCAGGGTGTGGCTGCTGTGCATATTACAGCTACTTGGAGGCACAGGTGAGAGCTGAGCAACAGGTGGGGACCAAAAGTGAATGAGTAGCCCTAGAAAGGGCATGGCAGGCCACCCCGCCAGAGGTGCTACCCCTCCCTGGACACTCCATACATCTCATACATACATACAAACAATGGCACCTACTTGACTATGTCATAGTATATCAACATGACCTTAAAAACGTCACCATCACCCAAACCATGCAAGGTGCTGAGTGCTGGACAGATCACAGGCTGGTCCAGTCTGTCCTCAACCTGCACATAGCCCTTTACATCGTAAGCAACCAAGGACTGTCAGAAAGTCATTCAACATTGGCAGACTGCAAGTCCCAGGCCAAGTCCAATGTTTCCAAGATGTACCTAATGAAAAACTCTCTGGCAATTTACCACTTGTACAAACCTGTTCTGAAAAGTGGACGCAATTTAAAGATGTCATCACACAGATTGCAACAATTGTATTCAGACTGAAAACCCAGGCACATCAAGACTGGTTTAATGAAAACCACAACCAATTTCAGCAACCCTCCAAGCCAAGAACAAGGGCTATGCAGACTGGCAGAATGATCCATCATCTATCTCAAAGAAAGACAAGTTTAAGCACCTGCAGTCCAAAGTCAGACAGAACTGAGAGAAATGCAGGACAGGTGGTGGCAGAGAAAGGCTGAGCAGGTGGAATGCTATGCAGACATGCATGCCAGCAGAGAGTTCAGCACCATAAACTCAGTTTATGGTCCTTTTAAATCAGGATGCACCCCCCTGCTGCCATCTGATGGGTTGAGCCTGATCAAAGACCAGGAAGGACTGAAAAACGGCTGGGATGAACACTTTTCCAACCCACTCTATAGAACATCCATAGTTGATCATGATATCTTACTGCAGATTCCTCAGCTGCCAGTTTTGGATGCCCTAGGCTTGCTTCCCTCTACTGATGAGATCAAGAAAGCAATCTCGCAGATGAACTCAAATAAAGCAACAGGACAGGATGGCATTCCTGCTGAGATCTATAAAGCACTAGACCCAAATGCCTTGCAGGTGTTCCAAGACATCTTGGAAGACATTTAGTCCACAGGGATGCCTGACGACTTCCGTGATACCCTCATTGTGGCTCTCTACAAAAATAAGGGAAGCAAATCAGACTGCAGAAACTACAGGGGTATCTCACTGCTGTCCATCACAGGCAAGATCTTTGCCTGCATTCTCCTGAGCAGACTTGTCACTGTCTCAGAAAGGAACCTCCCAGAGGTGCAGTGTAGCTTTCGGCCAGAACAGAGCACAGCATACATGATATCTGCCATGAGGCAAGTCCAGAAGTGCATCGAGCAGAATAAGTCTCTTTACTCTGTCTTCATTGACCTGACAAAGGCATTTGACACCGTAAACAGGGAGGTTCTCTGGATCATCCTGAGATATTATGGATGCCCGAGGAAATCTGTGAAGTTAATTCAGCTATTCCATGATGGAATGACAGGACAGGTTCTTTACAATGGTGATACATCAGCTGCATTTGCCATTTCCAATGGAGTAAAACATGGTTGTGTGCTAGCCCCAGTCCTGTTCAATCTGTTCTCCACTTGCATGTTGTCACATGCTGTCCAGGGTCGAAGTGTACATCAGGTGCACTTGGATGGCTCTCTGACCTTTGCCACTTGAATGCACGGATGAAATGCCTCCATACAATCATCCAAGAAACCCTCTTTGCTGATGACTGTTTGTTCCTGGCGCACAACGACAGTGATCTACAGTTGATGCTGAACAAATTCTCAGATGCGCTATGGCCTATCAGCCTGAACAAGACTGAAGTACTTTACCAGCCCGTGCCAAATACTAACTCCATAGAACCAAAAATCACTGTTTGTAACACCCTGCTGACAAATGTAAACAGCTTCAAATACTTGGGAAGCATCATCTTGAGTGATGGGTCTTTGGAAAAATAAATTGACTCCAGGATTAGCAAGGCCAGCCAGGCACTGGGGTGGCTGCGTACTAGAGTGCTCAATCAACACAACATCCATATCTCCACAAAGCTGAAAGTCTACAGAGCTCTGGTTATCCCTTAGCTGCGTACTAGAGTGCTCAATCAACACAACATCCATATCTCCACAAAGCTGAAAGTCTACAGAGCTCTGGTTATCCCTTAGCTGCGTACTAGAGTGCTCAATCAACACAACATCCATATCTCCACAAAGCTGAAAGTCTACAGAGCTCTGGTTATCCCTTATCTCCTATACGGATGTGAGTCTTGTACTGAAAGTACATCGATTTCACATGTGCGCTCTCCACATGTCGTGAAATTTCACATGTGCACTCTCCACTCCATCCTCAGCATTCGTTGGCAAGACCGTGTCTCCAGCGTGGAAGTCTTGGACCACGCGGAATCCACCAGCATTGAGTCCCTCATGATCAGAGCCCAGATGCAGTGGGTGGGACAAGTCATCAGAATGGATGACCACCATATGTCTCTCCAGTTGCTCTATAGTGTACTGGAGTCTGGGCAGAGTGCTACAAAGATGCCATGAAAGAAACCCTATGCCACTGTGACATCCAGCCAAGGGAACTAGACAGAACCCATTGGCAAGCCCTGCGTGCTATGAACTTCCGCCGACTTTGAAGACAGGTACCACCAAAAACTGATAGAAAACTGTGAGTGGCATACAGAATAACACCCACAGTTAGTACAACGGACGTCCACTGCCCCCATTGTCATAGACTCTGGGCTTCCAGACTGGGACTGCAGAGCCACCTCCTTGTCCACAGATGAACTGCACAACAGCATGTCTTCCTCAAACCAAAGGACTACCATATAATAGGTGTGATTTGTATGGCTTCTCATTCTCCTTGTGGATTAAGAACAATACACATGAAGGATCCACCTAACATTACCTTATGTGCAGAAAAAGAACCTAACTCCTTCTCCAACATAAAGAGAACATCCTTGGATGAATGAACATTTAAATTTGCCTCAAAATGTCTCATCAGGATTACAGCACAAACTCACAAATTCAACTCAGGACTCAGAAATATAGTGAAATATAAGCTGGCCAATGAGTGAGAACAGTGCCTGTGATCTACAAAGCACAGGGATACAGACAAAAGTGAATGTTGTCCTTTCAACAGATTTCCTTAAATACATATGACTGTCAATAGATGCTTTCTATGTGAAAAATACAACTATATTAACATAATTGCCAAAATAACATCCAGTACAAGTAGACGATTCACAGGATCAGCACCTGGATGGCTATTTCTTTACAGCTGAACCAACTTGATGGCTTAGAATGTCAGGCTGTATTAGGGAAAACCCATTTTTAGATCTCCTATGCTAGGAACATGTAGACGACCCACTTTTTTTAGCAGGACAAAAAGGTGGTTAAGTACAAAGTTCTGCCAGAATTGCATGATACAAATGATACTTCTGAGAAAGGTCAGAAGACAAGGTTAAATAGTGATTGCTCTAGCAGTGTTTTTCAAGCTTGGCAACTTTAAGATGTGTGGGCTTCAACTCCCAAAATTCTGGGAGTTGAAGTCCACACATCTCAAAGTTGCCAAGTTTGAAAAACACTGCTCTAGCACACAATGAATGACCAGTAGATCATACAGAAATGAGTGTAAAAGTGCACTTATGACCCACATGATATTAGAAAGATAAAATGGGTGCCTTAATCCTTGCAGCCTCATAAACTGTGATCTGGGCCTCACCCTCTTCTGGAATGCAGCCCTTGGTGTGCCGCACAACCCTGGTGTGGGACTTCAGCTGATGGAAAATGTGGACACTTGAATTTAGGAAAAGCTGTAATAGCTGTTCTTGAACAAAAAGTTTGCTCAAGTCTTGATAATTTGGTTGCTTTTAATAAAATATATGATTATACCCTGGATTATGGATTTTCTACAATGCTATTTACAATTTTTTGTCTCTAGGTAAAGGTCTCCATACTTGCCTTAACAAAACCACGTAACACAAAATTCTTATTCTTGCAGATTTTTTTCTCTATTATTCTCTGAACCATTTCTATAATCTCTATAATCTACAATTTCTACAATCTACAATGTGTTACTGTCCTCTTAGCTTTATGTCTACACATACTTTTGCATGAATTTTTTTCACTGATAAAATCTGATTTCTGCATATAAAAAATATTGTTCAGTATTCATGTTAATCACTTACCTAGTTTAGATTTTCTGTATCAGGCACTAATTTTCCTCCTCTTTATAAAAATCCCTAAGAAATAAAGTTAATATCACTAATGATAAAGACAAAATCTACCTGCTTTCTAGAGAAACTATGAAAGCAATCCTTATGCTCTTACCTGGGCATATTTAAATAAATTGTTATAAGTTCCAGCTTGTTTTCCCTGCTGAAGCCCTACTGATTTCACAATAGCATGCACCTATTTTTGATTTGTGACATAGCCATTTTGATATCTAATATATGAAATAATCTTCCTCAGCTTGGCCCTCTAAAGGTGTCATCAGACTGCAACTTATGACATTTTGACAAGCGATACTAAGCATGTTCACCTAAAAGAAAGCCCCATTGAATTCAGTTGGAATCTTCCAAGTAACTGGTAACTGGAATTGCAGCTCAAGTTTCATTCTGAGACCATCTTTATTCACCAAATGAATAAAAAGGAAAGAGATGTTACAGCAGAGGAACATTTGTTCCTTAAGTGATTACATATTTTAGAGGTTCTCTATTTAAAAAAAAATTAAAAATGAAAATATTTTAAAATACAAAAGATTATTCAAACACTGGTTAAATAGAAAATTAATACCCTAAAATTAAAAAGACATTTTCTCTTGACAATGATTACACAATTTGCAGCGGTGATGCATCAGGTTCATGCCATGTCAACCTTGGCCATTGCTATTTCTCTACAACAGTTTCTTTAATAACCCCCAAACCCAGCTAACTGTAACAAAAAGTGGTCAGAAGTTTCCATGTATTTCTGTTGATATCTGTATGGTAACTTCCTAGAAGAAAAGAATACAAGAAAATGCAAAAATTAGCAACTAATTACAAAGCACACATTTAAATGCAAACAGAAAGGTGATAGCAAGTTTGGAACTAGGAAAAGGTTCCTTTTATTTACTGCATGAGACAGCCGAGGCTAAAATCTGAAATGCATTGTTAAAACAATTTGCTAATACAGCTTAAACATCACAGCCTTAACTTTGTGCTCCAATGCAAAGGCCTAAATATAGGTACTCATCATTTAGCGACCACAATTGGGACCAGCAACTCCACTGCTAAGTGAAGCGGTTGCTAAGTGGGAAATCACGTGACCACGACCGTGCTCTCCTTTTCCCCACTCCCTCACCTAGCAGCATTGGGATAGCTGGCTCAAAACTGACAAGACTAATTAGTTTCACAGCTTGGCTTTTGTTTGCCTCCAAACCACTGCCCGCTCACCCAGGGTTGTGATAATTAACAAGAATGGAATTAATGTTTGCATTTACATTCTTTGGAGAGGAAGGGATTACAAGAGAGTAAGCAGGCACACAATGGGGAATATACATCAAAAGCAATGTGTTGGTGCCAGCATCCGTGAGCATGCTACGCAAACAGCCTGATGTAAGTGCCTACTTACTCTCTTGAAATCCCTTCCTCTCCAATCTCTCTGCTCTGCAAGGAGGGTGAAAAAGAAAAACAACAGGTCAGGCACCGGACAATGCGTACAGGCTGTATTGTAGATCACGTGACTGAGGGACAGCATTGTAGTAACTTTGAACGGTTGCTGAATGAGGCAGTCAGTAAGTGAGGACTACCTGTAATACACCATAGTCCCACTAATATACATTTCTGTGCTAACACAAACAATGAGAGCTGAGTATGGGCAATAAACTTTTAGAGACATATTTTTTCTGAAAAATGTGGCATGAAAGATTACTTAACCAGGTCACTTCAATATCTAACAGTTGCACTCACACAACTTGTTAAGTTTAGTTAGTTTTAACTTTATTTTTGAGGCTTAGTGTATTGCTTGAACCAAACTAAGATAAGTGAGTTACATGAACTCAGCCACTGTTTCTTTTCCCCCTTCTGTCTATTCTGCAATCATTTCTGGTCAAACAAGTCTGGAAAATTTCTGAAGCAATACAGATTCACCCATTCTCCCAACTTTCAAAATCTCTACTAAACTCATGTTTTAATAAGCCCACATATTATTTCCAGATGACTGGCTAATATTTACACTGGCCACTGAACCTGAGCTCAGACAAGTTTCAAAGATGCAATTTGCAACTATTAATGCCTCTACAAAGGGGCTACATGAATTCTCATACCTCTTTGAACTGTGCTATCTTGATAGTCCTGCATGCTTACCTGAAAATCTCTGATAAAAGTTAAGAAGAAGAACACAAAGCCAAAGGCTACTGTCCATTCGCAGATTGCACTCACAAAATGATACATATAATCCTAAAGGAAGGAACATTTATAAAAAGTCATTAAATAGACTGCAATGGCAAAAAGGCGAATCAAGTATAGAGACAGCAAATACACCAGACACACAGTGTGGTAGAAAAGTATTTATTCATTTAAAGCTGCATCTAATTAGTGTCCCTTCACAGACAGAAATCTCTTTGATTCAGCAGAAGCCTCATCGGTCGAAAAGGGATGTGACTGTCAGTAATTTCCCTCTTCCTGCAGTCCCCCATGTGGTTCTGGAATTGCCCCCCAATCTTCTAGAAGAGATTTGGGAAGCGGAGAAAACTTCAAAGCCTGCCTTTCTCTATTCCACTGACAGAAGCCCCTGCTGGATCAAGCACGCTTGTCATCTAGTGAAGACAATCCTTATTTATTTACTGAATTTCTGTACACTTAGCACTAAATCAACATACATTTTCTATGTGGCTCATCACCAATGAAAACATAATATTAAAACATAAAACACTCTACATCCGGATAATTTTTCATTACTAATTACCAGGAACCATAAAAGATATATTTTCTTGATAATCATTGATTTCAGCCATTTTGAATTATCATTTCTTGAGTTATTTTAGATTTTTTTTAAAAATGAAATGTAAATTCTTGACTTCATGATGATGTTTTCTATGATAAGATTTTTAAGGGGAAAAAAACAAGCTTGAAATTTGTGTTCTGCCAAACTGTTCAAAAGCCATCTCACATGGTACTTTCCTAGAGGTAAACACCTTCCTTTGATTATCTGCTAGAATGGCACAAACAGCAATGGATCTGACAAACATGCAGGGAGCCCTCATAAAGGACTACAGTACAGTGTTTCCCAGGGTTTTGTAGGTCATAACATGTAAGCTTGATCTGTACATTGTAATAGAAGAAGGAAAGTGTGCCTACTGAATAATCAGCATTACTCCCTTCTTGTGAGAGCAGAACACTATTGTTTCTGGGACACAAAATATAATCAATATGCCCATTTTAACAACACCCATTTTTTTCAACATAATATTTATGGAATGTCCTCAAAAATCTGTGCCTCATGGCAAAATCTTTCACACACTCTTCTGTTCTAAATAGTAACCAGAATGTGACAGCTGAGGCATGATCTGGCTGAGATATACTAGGGAACCTGATAGGAGAAATAATGGGATCAAATAAAACAGACAGTTTGTTTGCAGCCAATATATACCATTGGTCACAATAAAAAAAAAATTAAAAAAATAATAATAAATACAGAATAATTCAGTACTACCTTCTTGGTTGACTTTCTATTATATTTTGAAGTGACACATTTACCCACCAGATGCAGCCCGCCCCATTATTTTGTGAAAATCACACAAAAAGTGCTCCCTCTTGTGATCTAGTACATGCACAGAAATAGTAGTAGAGAGTCAGCACTTTTCAGAGAATAGCTGTAGTCTGCTTGCCACAAAAATAATTAAGAATCTTTATGGTACCAAAAACTAAACCGATTTATTATGGCACAAGCTCCTTTTATCCTTTTATCAGGTGCTTTAAGACTTATCCTTGGTTGATCTATCAGTGCATATAGCACTAATCAGCAGTCACTATCCATTTTATTCTCCTCCAAAATATGTAAGGATCATCATCATCACTGATGATTCAATTTCCTTCTTTCTTCAACCCCATACCTAATTAACAAGCCCCACTATGTAGCTTCTTACTGATTACAGATTATTTTACTGAACTATTCATTCCCCAGAGTATGGATAGCAGGCCAGAATTCACAAAGCCACTTTCCTCTATGAGGCACGTGCTCCGGAAAAACTTGGGCCTCAATTAAAAACTGTTCATTGGGAGACAGAATTCTACTTTATGTGCTTTGGCACATTCCAATGTCCGCTAAACAGGGGATTTCTCAAAAATGAATGGGAGAGGTCTGCTTATTTCTTGCTTCACTTACTAACATGAAAAGCACTTCTAATAACTCAGGGGAAAGATGTGAAAAGTCTATACACATACCCAATACCCAGGTATATTGAGAAAGTAATGTATTTGCCCTGTATCCTGATGCTTGTTACACTCATGTACATAAGACAGCATTCATCTCATTCTGATCTGACATTTCATTTATTTATTAGATAGATTTATTTATTATTATTTTTGTGCCTTTGAATCATTGTTGACTCCTGGCGACTGCCTGGACAAGTCCCTGCAGTTTTCCTGGCAAGATTTTGGAAGTGGTTTGCCATTCCTGCTTCCTAGGGCCGAGAGAGAGTGACTGGCCCAAGGTCACCCAGCTGGCTTTGTACCAAAGGTGGGATTAGAACTCACAGCCTCCTACTCCCTAGCCTGATAACTTTAACCACTGCACCAAATTGGCTCTATAGATTTATATGGCTCCTCAATTGACAGATGACTCTGGGCAGCTAACAATCAATAAAACAACCACAATTACCATTACAAATAAATTAAAAGAGCATTGTGATAACAACACTACTGTTAGGTTGCTGAGATATTATGCATCTGTTCTCTGCAAAATATTTTAATTTTCTCCAGTCTGAGAGAAAATTCTAGGAAGAGTAGTCCCAAACCATCTCTCAGATCAGATTATATTAAGCGTGTGTGTGCATGGGTGTCACTTCAGAGCACTTCAGTCAATGATTCTTAAAAAAAAGAATGCATTTCTATCAATATAGGTTGCATGAGGCATACCTGGTCAGAGCTCAGATTTGCGAGTAGTTCTGGCAAAGTGTCCTTTTGTTCTGAATATTAGACTGACAACCTTCCATTCCTGGCCTTTTGGTGAGAAGCAAATAGCCATGGACTATTCTGAAAGGAGAATTTACACAAACCTCAACTCTCCAAGTGCAAGTGGTTACCCAGGAGACATTTGTTTTGTTTGAACTTTTGTAAAAAAAAAAAAAAAAATTAATTTCACAGCTCTTGAATCTATACGTGAACCAGAATGCACTTGCACATTGAAAACTGCACTTCTCAGAACTTAACAATGTAGTTCTTGGTTTTTTTTAAAAAAAAACCTATTCAAAATGTGTCTACTGAGGAAAAAAACGTGTACAAAAAAGGATAATTAAATCTTAATACAGATTAAATATCTAGATTTTTATGTGATTTTTAACCAAATTTGGAAGATGATGTAGAAAATGGGACAAAACAAATTTGCAGCCAAGAAAAAAATTGAACAAGAGTTAAGACTCATAGTTTTATTCATCTATAAATGTATTGTTAATTTACACATTTATTGAGGCTGAACATAGATGAAGATTCATTAGCATTAATACTCCCATTGATTTCTGTTTTCCCATGTTTCTAAAGGAGGCCTTGCTTCCTAAAAATGCTTTCAGAGTTCCAAACATTTCTGTATCTTTTAGTCTCTAGCTATAACTCTTAATTTTCTCATACTTAAACCACAACAGGTTCCACATACATGGGGTGGAAATAACTCTCCCCCAAACTATTAGCAAGTCTAAGACTCTGACCAAATATGTCTCAGGTGACCTATACTGACAGAAAGTTAGATATCACTAAGATTAAGTTAAGAATTAAAAAGCATTGAATCTGAATAGACTACATATATCTATGTATACCAACCTTTAAAATTTAAAGCAACGTGTCACAACTTACTAAATAATATTAGCAACATGCATTCACAGCAGCTCTGATTATCAGTTTGCTTAAAGATCTCAGTAATAAAAACAGCTACTGTATTGCATATTTTGCACACATAAAGTTAAGCTGCACTGAATAGCTGGCCTAACGGGTAGAAATATTAATATTTTTTACCTAGTAAATGTTTACCTTTTCACCTGGATTCCAATCTATTTTTGTTATGGATATTAATGAAGCACATGCAATCACTGGGAAAAAGGAGTTAAGAGGAAACATCTGATTTAAAAAATAAAACATAAAATTACCGTTTCCTTTTACCGATACGTTCCTTATTGAAAGAATGAAGGGAATGTATCATTAATCAAATGGGGGCACATGCATATGAAGACAAAATAACCTGATGTTTGATAACAGAAATATAAACTTCTGATTTATGATTGTATACAATAAACATTGTGCACAGGCATGTCAGCAAGCCCACGCAGTACAAAGAAGCTATGAATTTAACAGTTTTCTTAGGTTCTGAATTGTCTTGGTTTTGGTATACATTCCTAATTTCAGTATCAAGAATGAGTATTTTAATTTTTAAGATAAAGCTCTCTAAAAAGATACCCACTGAATGTCTGCAACTCAGTTGTCACTCCAGAACTTTTCAATCCAGGAGACACATATGATATCTTGAAAATGGTTTCAACATAGCTGTCACATGTTGTACATCTAGTTATATATAGTGCTTCTGTTCCTCATGTCTCATTGTTTTACAAGCATGGCTTGTATCTCAAATTTACATGTTATGAAACGTATAATTTTATCCCTCTCAGGAAATATTGTAAGACTGAATCCAGAAATAGGAAGCTGACTTAAAACTGTGGTGCTTGTATTATTAAGACCTTGGCCATATTAATATACTGTAAAAAGGATACTGGGAATGACAGCTACCCAAGCTATTAAGGAGAGGAATAATCTTGTGTGACACAAACATGGAGTGCTCCATTGTGGACGTGATTTGTAAGAGATAATTGTCTGAAGAAGACTGTACAGAGCACCAGAGACAAAAGCCAAAAGAGCTCCCCCATCATGGACGGCAGGAACTGCTAACTCCTGAAACGACAATTCAGAAAGCATTGTATATTATTAGAGTTGCAGTCAATGTACACAAAAGTAGACTATAATCAGGGAGCAAATAAGCGTAGTCAGACTAGCAATATTAGAAAGGCCTTACAGGCATTATAAGCAACCTAGTAGTACAAAATCTGAAAGAGTTTATTTCCTACTACATCATACAGGATACTTTCATCTGATATGTACTACCCAAGCTATTTACTTCTAAAGTATGAACACTTCTATAACTGATATCTTAGTTAAAAGAAATGCTCAAATGAGCAGGAGTAATACAAGCTACACAGCCCTTCCTTGACAGCATTGCAGTTGCCATGCTGAGGCATAAAAACTGATAGGGGCTACCTGGTATTGAGATAGGTATGTGTATGTACTTGCATATGTACATGCAATATAGAGGCCAGGTGGGGGGGGAGGGGAACCTTTTTCAGCTTCAAGACTGAATAGGTATTTGAAATTGAGATCTAATCTAAAATAAATAAACTAATCCTCATTAAAAGAAAACTCCTTAAAAAAAAGGCAAGTTTCCTCCTAATCTTTTAATGCTTCTTGAATTTTATCTTCTTGCAGGATTTCTGTCAGGCCCAGCCCAAGAACGACGATGAACAGTCCAGTCCAGCCCACTTCCTTTATTAGCTTACACCTTACAGACAGAATCTGGCCAAACTAAATCTATACTACAGCAACTAGTGGATATACCCTGGGAGATTCTAGGGAGTGG